AGCAAGTTCGAGAAAATTCGAGAGCAATTCTCCACCATTTTCCTTCAAACTTGTTCGTACAGTTTCTAAACAAGATTACCCACAAGTTCTATGAAAGAATAGAGTGCTGAAAGTGCCTAAAAACCATTCTCCCAATCCAATCCTCCATTGAAGAGCTTCAAGAAAAACTTAAAAATCCAATCTGAGGATACACGATAATTCGTCGAGCAAGAACAATCCCAATTAGTTTCTGCACCTCCAAGGAATGTTTCCATAGAAGACCATGAAGAGATATATAACCTCAGGAACGTGCTCAATTGAAGGAAATATGTTTCGGGTAAAATTTGGGAGTAAGTATTGAATTCCTATCTACGGTCGCTTTTCCTTCAAATTGAGGATTCCTTTAGCTTTAGAGGAAGAAGTTGAGTAACTTTGATGAAAGCAACGAGAGCTGAAACATCGTAGAACAAGCTATCCAATAGATCAATTTTCTGGTGTTTCGAGTAACTTGTAGACCGAGAACAATTCTCCAAAATTGGGGACACACGCTCAAAGACGTCCCTCCAAACCAAATCCTTTAGCTTGAGGAAAAGATATGGTAGAGGTTCCATGAAGAAATCGAGCCTTGAAAACCCCTAGAATTGGCTACCTAATAAGAAATCATCTGTTTTAGCTCCGGCGAGAAATCAATTTTTGGACGAACTTTGGAGGTGAATATCTTCCTTGTAACAATCCCTAGCTCTTCCTTGTAACACCATCTTTAAGTTTCATGAAGAAATCGAGGGGAGAAACAACATGATCAGAGTTATGGAGCTTGAGTTTCAAATGGCAACGCAAAGGATGTGCGCATCTTCTTTCTGTCTGGAGGAAGAAGACAATGACATGGTCAGTTCAATTGAACTGGCCATGTCAACCCAAAATCCGACCTTCCCTCAGTTTTTCTCAATTTTAGCCCCCTTCCAGATTGGTTCTTATGAAACATTTATAGTTCTAGAAACTAGACACAATCAGAAGTTTGTGGAAGGAAATTTGAAGTAATTTGGATACCGAGAGCTTAAAAACGAAAGTCCCGAACGTCGACGATGAGGTAAGTAGCCACCTTGGACTTTTCTTAAGAAATACTTTTAAGAATTGCTTGAATTTCTATATGAACCCTAAACCAAGTATGAATTAAGGATATATGAAAGAAAGACTCAAAGAACTGTGAGTTAAGACCCTAAACTGATCAAATTGCTCAAGATTTAAGTAACGTTAAAATAACCCATTAGATGAATTCTGTTGCCTATGAAATTCTAATGTTCCACATATTATAGTATTTTGAGGCCATGTATGAAATTTGGTGGTCATTGGATAAGGTTAAGTAGGAAAACCAAGCAATGGTGAAAATTGACCATAATGCCCCTAAGGAAGACTACCTATGGATTAATCCCTAAATGGCCTCCAAATATTATGAAATGTTTTATGAATCCTTATCTCAGGAGGTTGTATAAGGTAATGAAGTTTGGGAGTCATTGGGAAACTTTAGGTAGTGAAACCAAGATATGGGGAAAAACGTTCATTACGATCCATACGACTTTACCTCCTAGGATGACTAACGAGGTAACCATGAAATAAGAGATTCCCCACATGTACCCTTGGTTACTAATAGATTCTACATACACAAAATCACGTTGGACTATTCATAAGAAGAACTTTTAAGTTCCAAGCTTGACTCAAGACGATATGCATAAAACCTAGGATCACGAAGAACCAAGAAAACACCTAGGTTAATGCAAATATCATGCTTAACAAGTTGCTAGGATCCATGCCCAAAGTAATCATTATCTCCCATCACGAGGCCACGAGTCCCCTATTCATCTTTAGGTGGGATGCCCTGCTATATGTACCAAGAGCAGGATGCCATGATGGGCCTATTATTTCCCTCACCTAAATGAGATGCCTTGCACCACGATTTGCTAGCAGGATGTCCGATTATGACGACGTCACCTATGCACTCATGGGAAGTAAATTAAGGGTTACTTTGGAAGAGTTTTCAGAGCTAAAATACGATGCATGACATGACAACCTCTAAGGTTTAATTCCTGGAAACGAAACAAGAAGTCATATCCTAGCTCAAGGTCTAGACATGTTCCAAATTACCAACTATTTTTTATAAGGCCTATTCTATATGATATGAAGATAAGTTCAAGATTTCAAGTTGATTGGAGCAAGTTTGGGATCTAAACCAAGATAGAACATACGAAACCCCTAAAAGAACACCTCAAGATTCAAGACCCTTCTAGAACCCTTTAAGGAATCCATTATGAATCTATGACTTTCTAGAATAACTCATGCTAGTTATTATGATGGATTCATATGATTACGAGTGTATGTGACAACTTATGCCTCAATGAATTATGACCATTAGGAACATTCAAGATTGAGATCCAAGAACAATACCAAAAAAGCTCTACAACTACTAAGGCAAGAAGAATGCTAGGTACCACTCAAGGATAAGGGACCAAGGTCCTTAGACTCATAAACTCATGAATGCTAGGTAATACTTTAAGCATGTCTAATTGTGACCCATAACCTCCCACCACTTCGTGCTTTCAGAGGCCATGTTTTCTCTTCTAGGTGGAATGCCCTACACCATATTTCCTTTGTAGGATGTCATGTTTGGCCTTATGTTTCCCTCACCTAGATGAGATGTCTTGCACCATGTTATGGGTACCCAAAGATTTGCAGGATGTCATGTTCATGCATGCACTAATCACGTAACGTTTATGGTCAATGCCATGTTCATGCATTCACCAATCACATGACCTTTATGGTCTATGCCATGTTTATGAATGCGTCGATCACGTAACCTTATGGTATATCATGGGAGTAATCTAGGGTCACGATAGAACAAAAAGAGAGTAAGTTACCTTAGCCAAGAATCAAGAACCTTCTAAGACCTTCCTCGGTACATCATGCTCACGACTTAGACTACGCTGCTTGGAACACATGAAGCCTTGAGCATAGGTATTAAGACTGTGTCGCTTGGAATGCATGAAGCCTCGGACACAAGCTGACAAGTTTATGACTAGTACCGCAAATCCTAAGGGGAGTGTCTTGTTGAGAACGAATTAAGAAATAGAACAATAACCTAGAAAGAAACAAGAACAAGAGAAAAATCAAGGATTAGAACATGGATCAAGATCCAAGTTCTAAGGACAAGAATCAATAACCATAATACTAAGGCGCGTAGAGAATAACTTAGGATAGAACATGATAAGAACCCAAAAGTCAAGAACAAGAACTAAAGGGCCTAAGTACTTACGACAAAAGCAAAAACAAGAAAAGAAAAAGTGTGGTACCCTAGAATATCAAAGACATGATTAAGAGCCTACAAGTAGGTTACTTACGAGTCTTTGTACTCATTCCTTATTCTCCATTTTTTTTCAGGTAATAAGGAGCTGGTCGAGGTCGGGAGCGGACTCTAAAGCAGGTGTCATAGACAAAGCCCACCCGTCATCCTCAACCCTTTTGTTTTAAAATATTTTATGTTTGTTCCTTATTTTATATTTTAACTAGTAAGTTGTGTTTTAAATACTTATGTATGAACTTTATGTTGTTGACCTAATGTAAATATAATGTATATTATGTTTTAAATTCCTTTATTTTATTCTGCAAAGAATTTACCCGTCTTTTTAGAGTCATCGAATCAGCCCAATCCTTACATCAAATGATGGGAGAAAAAGGATTGAAATTCCTTATACCACCCACAAACAAAGGGACAAGCATATGTGTCTAGTTGCAAAATCAAAATAATTTTAGAGAAAGTGGTGCAACTAAATAAAAGAGATTGGACAAATAAATTAGATGATGCATTGTGAAGCTCTTTATGCCTTTTGTCACTATGAGTTTGAAGGACAAGAATATTGAAAGCCCATTATGAACGGACTTAAGTGCAATAATTAAACAAAATAAGAGGAAAAGAATCTTCATATATTTTAAAACTAGCTTTAATAAATTTGCATTTTGTCTTCATTACGCTCCATGCGACTTACAACCGGGACCATACAGCCAAACGACCATTGAACCAAATTCTTTTCAATAATTCTTTGTTGCAACTGTCTTATAATGGACTTCAACTTATGTTAAGCTTTTTTTCAATAATAATAATTCAAAACAGGTTTGTGGCCAAATCGGTAATTTAACCACAATTTTAGTCTATGTAGTTTAAGTCATCTTCTAAAAGTCTTTTTGAGACTTTTGAGCTGTGATCCATCCCGATAACAAAAATTTATCAAATAATGATTTAAAATATGGCAGACATAATTTTTTATCATACGAAGATGTTAGATATCTCGTAGAAATCTTGAAGGGTAAATAGTGGAAAAAATGTAATTTCTCCTAGGTTGATTTTAAATGAATAAAAACCTAGTTTGCTTTGAATTCCCAACCCCAAAACATCAGGAAGAAACTTAATAGAATTTCTTAAAGGAATGATAAAAAAAAACAAAAAAAAAACAAATAAGCTCTACTAGCATATTTAACTCAAACGAGCGAGGGAGATGTTCTATAGCAGATAAGTTTTTAGATAATCTCTTCTTAAAAACATCCTAAACTATTTCCATTGAGGAAGAAATGATCTACTTTTTTATTCTCAACCATCTTAAATCAACGAGGTCTGGAAGGACCTTAAATAACCAAAAATAGTTCAAAATGTTAAATCAGGTATAAACTACTAATTCTTTTTTTTTTTTTTTAATGTTTTTAATAAAGGATTAAAGTAATGACCTTAAAGAATAATAATAATAATAAATAAATAAATTCAATTAAAGCATAAAGTCGAAGTTCCGATTTTCTGAACATATGTATTTGGAGAAAAAAAGAGAATAGAAAAAGGCCCAAAACGGCCCAATTTGTAAAAAAGGGGAAAAATATTAAATCCGAGGGTGTAGAATGCATCCATTCCAGGGCGGAAGATTAGATGGGGAGATGATTGTTCTAGAACCCCCCAGGCCCCAACCCACGTGTCATTACCTAACCCTCACCTTTTCTTCCAAAACCCTTTCCTCCTCCTTTCTCTCCTTCCATCACACCAAACTCAGTCTCCCCCCAATTTCCTAGCAACCTCCATTTTCATTCTTCTTCCTCCCAATTCTTTTCCATTTCTTCTACAATCCGCCTTTCCTCCTCCCCTTTTCATTCTCATTTTACCTCCTAATTTTCTTCCCTTCTCCTCTGTAATTTCCTTCTTAATGGCTGCCTCCACCGCCCAGATCCATGGCCTGGGACCTTCTTCCTTCTCTCCGCCCTCCATTCGAACCTCTAACCATGTTTCTCCACGGACTGTGTTCTTCGGCCAAAAACTCCGCCATTCTTCTGGTTTTCCTACCGCCACTTTTTTTAAGTTGAGGACCAATTTTAGCCGTAGGACTTCGACTGTCAGGCCATTGAAGGTCGTCAGTGAGAAAGTTGTGGGAATCGACCTTGGCACCACCAACTCAGCAGTGGCGGCTATGGAAGGTGGGAAGCCGACTATTGTAACCAACGCCGAAGGCCAGAGGACGACTCCATCGGTGGTGGCCTACACTAAGAACGGAGACAGGCTTGTGGGTCAAATTGCGAAGCGACAGGCGGTAGTCAACCCTGAGAATACTTTCTTTTCGGTGAAGAGGTTTATTGGTAGAAAGATGTCGGAGGTGGACGAGGAGTCGAAGCAGGTCTCCTACAGAGTAGTGCGCGACGAGAATGGAAATGTGAAGCTGGAATGCCCCGCGATTGGGAAACAATTTGCCGCTGAAGAAATTTCAGCTCAGGTTACTTGATTGTTTTTTCTTATCATCGTATGTTCATTTTTGGCTTCAAATTATATGGTTGGTTATAATGGTGAACTGAAGATGGAAATTTCTTTAGATCTCTTTAGGATTACGAGCTTTGGTTATTGAATTTAACTCTATAATGCGTTGGGTTCGGTGAAACATAATCTATTATTCAAGCACGCTGAAAGATATTATTTTCTTTCTTTTTCACGCGTTTGGCGTTTGTTTAGGTCTTAAGGAAGCTGGTGGACGATGCTTCGAAATTTTTGAATGATAAAGTAACCAAGGCTGTGGTGACAGTGCCTGCCTACTTTAACGATTCCCAAAGGACGGCCACAAAGGATGCTGGTCGGATTGCCGGTCTAGAAGTTTTGCGTATTATCAATGAACCCACGGCTGCTTCATTGGCATATGGATTTGAAAAGAAGAGCAATGAAACTATCTTGGTGTTTGATCTTGGTGGGGGCACTTTTGATGTTTCAGGTACATTTTTTGGCGTTCATGGCTCCCTGATTATACTTTTCCCTTTACGTTGCTATATGATATCGCATGTACTAATTCTGGAACCTCTTTTATTTTATATGTAGTGCTTGAGGTGGGTGATGGAGTGTTTGAAGTGCTATCTACTTCGGGAGATACGCATTTGGGTGGCGATGACTTCGACAAGGTTGGATTTCTATTGGACTAACAATTTTACCAAGCATACTTTTTTTTACATATGCGTAAAGTTTGACAAATCCAAACCTCTTATTATGTAATATGCAGAGAATTGTGGACTGGCTCGCTGCAGATTTCAAGAGGAATGAGGGCATAGATTTGCTGAAAGATAAACAGGCTCTTCAGCGGCTCACTGAGACAGCTGAGAAAGCGAAAATGGAGCTGTCTTCTTTGACTCAGGCCAACATTAGGTACATAACATAATATATATTCTAGTTGTCTGTTGTTGACCTGAATTGTTCTGTGTTTCTTTATCTTAATCTTTAATATTACACTTTGATAAATGGGAATTTTCTTTCAGTCTGCCTTTCATCACTGCCACGGCAGATGGGCCCAAGCACATTGAGACCACTGTTACAAGGGCCAAGTTTGAGGAATTATGCTCAGATCTTCTTGATAGGTACCTTCATTTTTTTCATTTTGTTTTTAAAGAATGAATCTTAAATCACTGACTGGCGAGATCAATCTATAAAACAAAATATTTTAAGAACAGGGAAAAAAAAAGTCGCACAAGCTTCTAACATATTATATTTGTTTTAATCGGTTTCTTACTTAGGCTTAAGACTCCAGTGGAAAATTCGTTGAGGGATGCAAAGCTCGCGTTTAAAGATATTGACGAGATAATTCTTGTGGGTGGATCAACACGTATTCCGGCTGTTCAGGAACTTGTCAAGAAGTTGACTGGGAAGGAACCAAATGTCACTGTCAATCCTGACGAAGTTGTTGCTCTAGGTGCTGCTGTTCAGGTAGGTTCAGAACTGCGCTTATTTGTTTGTCATTGTGCGTCTCTCTCTTAACCTCACTTTCTGGTGGTAAATGTCTTCAAAGATATTGATGTCTTAAACCGTATAATTTGGGAACTCAATTAAGGAATGTTACGTATGAGCTTTCTTTAATCTATAATGGACGTGGAGGGTGATTTTATCAAATAAACCCATACATTTATATGTGATAGAAGAGTGGATTATTGTTGGTGTTTGTAGGCTGGTGTGTTGGCCGGAGATGTTAGTGACATTGTGCTGCTGGATGTGAGTCCGCTATCTTTGGGTCTTGAGACTCTAGGTGGTGTAATGACTAAAATTATCCCAAGAAATACTACACTTCCTACCTCCAAATCAGAGGTCTTCTCTACAGCCGCTGATGGACAGACCAGCGTTGAGATTAATGTTCTTCAAGGAGAACGAGAGTTTGTGAGAGATAACAAATCACTTGGTAGCTTCAGACTAGACGGTATACCTCCTGCGCCACGTGGGGTTCCCCAAATTGAAGTCAAATTTGACATTGATGCCAATGGAATCCTGTCGGTTACTGCAATAGACAAAGGCACAGGCAAGAAACAAGATATCACCATTACTGGTGCTAGCACATTGCCAAGTGATGAGGTACGATTTAAGGCTTTGCTGCTTTTATGAGCCCGTATTTTGATTGCCTTGTTAATGAACGGGAAGAAAAATGTACTTCCACAGGTGGAGCGAATGGTTAGCGAAGCGGAGAAGTTTGCAATGGAGGACAAGGAGAAGAGAGATGCTATTGACACGAAGAACCAGGCTGATTCAGTTGTGTACCAGACAGAGAAGCAACTGAAGGAGCTTGGAGACAAGGTGCCTGGGCCAGTGAAAGAGAAGGTGGAGTCAAAACTTGGGGAATTGAAGGAAGCAATTTCAGGTGGCTCAACCCCTGCCATTAAGGATGCTATGGGTGCTCTAAACCAAGAGGTGATGCAGCTCGGGCAATCCTTGTACAATCAGCCTGGTGCTACTGCTGGACCGAGCGCCGAAACCGAATCAGGGCCATCGGAAACATCGGGCAAAGGAGGCCCTGAAGGAGATGTTATTGATGCCGATTTTACTGACAGCAAATGAGGACATTAAAATTGGTCCCCTCTTCTGGATAGAAATTTTTGGGTTCTCGTGAGGCTCAGATTTATATTGCAATTTGATTTTTGCGGGGCAGATCGGATTGGTGTGTTGGTTTAGTTGGGTGCAGAGGGTTTGTTATTAGCCACTGCCCCATGATATCAGTTTTATAAATTACGTGATCTCTGTAAGAGAAGAAAAATGCTTCTTTTACAAGGACTGCTATCAGCTAAAATTTGAGTGGCAGCTGTAACTTCCAAAATTTTCCTTGCAGTTAATTTCACGGTACATGGCCACACTAACATGCGAGTTACAACTTATAGGCTTTATGTAACCAATTTTGAATTGTGGATTGCTACATTCAGATGCAAAGTTCGAAAGAGTTTATATAAAATTTTCCTTTTGAATGAGGGGTGACACAATAGAGTTCAATATTTAAATAAGAAATACATTTGAATTTTGCATAAAAAAACAAAATAAATTGGAGGTTGGGTCAAATGCAAAATACAAAACCAATTGTAACATAAATCTTGAAGAATGCTTTCATCATTAACGACTCTTATGACTACAATATTTAGCTATATTTAGTAAGTAGCCTAACATTAGGCTTTAATCAATTTCTGCTACGGTTAAATACCACATGTCTAGGTCTCCTCAGCTCTCTAGGACTAACTTGGGCCAATTTTTGTGGAGTACTTCACCATTTATTTCTCTATTTGACATCGTCGAGTTCATTACTAAACTACTAACCCTATCAAGGCGAGTTTATGAACAAGCACTATCTAGGCACTCATAATCTCATGTGTCTCATATTTGGCTCCCTCAAGGCAAATTTATACCTAGCTTAATTTTTTAAGGTGTCTCCTGGTTAAATTAGTTTTCAATTGAATTGTTATTTCTCGTGTCATGCATCTATGAGGAGCGACCTCTAATTTTTGTTCAAACTACTGAGCTGCTAAGACATTATGGAAAATACTCGATATTGGTTTACTAAAATGGATTAGTTGGCGACTCCCTATTACGGTACATCATGTCATGTTGTCACAATAAGAGGAGAAGCCTAGTGCCTACCAATCTACTTCATCCATGCAAACCCTTATTCCTATGGGCAAGTTCAAGGCCAATGAGTAATTGGAGATCGTTTAATTGTCCTCAATCTATCTATGAAACATAATCTGGATTATATCACGATCCTCGCTAATCTGACTCCTAAGAAGTGCTAAGCACGACTGCAGCCCCCTATTATTGTGGAGATTCATTTATAGGAGCGATTAGTTAGACTACTAGTCCTCATATTAACATAGAAGTCTTTGGGGGTGGCCTCATAAAATGGTACTACCTTGCAAACTCTTGTCCCTCGTGACAATTTCACGATTAAGAGTTGAGGAGCCCCCTAGTCATCTTCACATGATAATCTCATTTAATTGAAGTTATTGAACACGAGTCATGAGACAAGGTATAATGTCTGACACAACATAATTCATCTATTGTTTAAGTTCATTATTTTAACGTGGCATCTAGTCCTTAAGTCTATTTAGTCATACTAGAGGATCCCCCGGATCCGTACGTGAACCATCTCTACTAGCTAGACTCTATTATAGAATTTATGGAAACAACTTTATAACACCTAAAAAGAAAGAAATTAGAAAGGCTTGATTCTTGTTCCTACTTCTTTGTGGAGTAATTTTGAACCATTTTCATAAAGAACCTGAGAGTTGAAAGTCAGTAAGTCAAAGGATTCCAATTTTAGTTGTGCGTTCTATTAGGATCGCACAACAACGCACACACTTGATCTAGATGAACACAAAGAAATAGGAGAGAGAAAATGCAAGGAGAACTTTGGCTAAAGAATTTGTATTGATGAGTATATATAAGAGAGAATACAGAAAATAGAAAGTACATATTTTCAAAGCTATAACTGAGAGGATATATATATATGGTTCTGTTTATTGTATATAGCTTTACCAGATTTAACCATCTATTATATATAGCTATTTACCATATATATAGCTTTACCAAATATAGCTTTTCCAGATATAGCTCTACCGGATATAACCGTTGACCAAGCTATAAATAAGAGAGCATGCTCCATAACCTAACAATTCTCCCAAAACCAAGAATTTCATTCTCAAACGATCACTACAACATACCAATTAAGGTTTTGCATAACCTCAATTTTCCAACATCAACACATTTTGTCCAATTAAGGTTTTGCATAACCTCAATTTTCCAACATCAACACATTTTGTCAATATGTCTGCTGGATTCTTTGCACCCTTTATCTTCTCCAAACACATATTACCTTCTTCCACTAACCTGTGAGTGAAATGGTATCGCCTTCTGACTATCTGTATAAAGAATCTTCTTGCACTCTGACTATCTGTATAAAGAATCTTCTTGCACTGCTTCATGCCTAATTCTTCTAAATAGTCTGTCATCCATATCATCTCCTTTACAGCTTCAGCTATTGCCACGTACTTAACTTCAGTAGATGAAAGAGCGACGCATTTCTAAAGCTTGGACATCCAACTCACTACTGTTCCATTTATAGTGTAGATATATCCAGATGTGCTCTTGCTAGAGTCTACATCTCCACTAAGATCAACATTCACAAAACCTTGCAGAACTACGTTGCCATTGCCATAACGAAGTATTGGATGTACCTCTTAGATATCTCAGAAGCCACTTTACAGCTTCCCAATGTTCTTTCCCTGGATTTGCCACGTACTTGCTAACAACTCCCACTACATGTGTTATGTCAGGTCTAGTGCAGACCATAGCATACATCAAACTCCCAACTGCAGAAGCGTACGGAACTGATGCCATGTGCTCATGTTCCTTAACTGTCTTGGGAGATTGCCCCTTTGACAATTTAATACGATTTGTCAAGGGGTAGTCCTGGGTTTAGCATCATTCATTTTGAATTTGGACAACACCTTCTCAATGTACTGCTCTTGGGATAGATTTAATGTGCCAGCAGATCTATCTCGAAAAATCCTCATCCCAAGAATCTGCTTTGCTGCACCCAATCTTTCATCTCAAATACTGAAGACAAGCTTGCCTTCAGGTGGTTTATCTCCCTCATGTTTGATCCAGCAATTAGTATATATCCACATACAGGAGTAGAAACACATAAGAATTAGTGTATTTCTTGAGGTAACAACACTAATCCTTTTCACTCTTGTGGAAACCACTCTTGCACATGAAGGAGTCAAACATCTTGTACCATTGTCTCGGTGCTTGTTTCAGTCCATACAAGCTCTTATTGAGCTTACACACCATGTGCTCCTTGCTTGGAGCTGCAAACCCTTCTGGTTGTTGCATATAGATCTCCTCATCTAGATCTCCATGTAAAAATGCCGTTTTTACATCCATTTGCTCAAGGTGCGAATTCTCCGATGCAACAATACTCAGCAGAATTCGGATAGTAGTTAATTTCACAACCGGGGAGAAAATCTCAGCATAATCAATGTCTTTTCTTTGTGAATATTCTTTAACTACTAACCGAGCCTTAAGCCTCCTTCTGCTATCTAGTTCAGCCTTGATTCTGAACACCCATTTGTTCAACAGAGCTCTCTTTCCTGTAGGTAACTGAGTCAGCACCCACGTATTATTCTTTTCAAGTGAGCTCATCTCATCATCCATGGCTTGCTCCCACTTGGTTGAATCTTCCACTTGTAGGGTCTCATCAAAGGACTCTGGTTCTCCTTCGTCAGTCAGCAACAGATAATGTAACGAGGGTGAAGATCTATCTAGTGCTCTGATAATTCTGGATGATCTCCTCAACACCTGCTCAGGTGTAACTTGCTCCACGTCTAGTTCTTCAGCAACAGGATCAGGAGTTTTTTGAGCTTCTGCTATGACATCACTGGGTGAATTTTCTTGCCACTCAAGTTCAACTCCCATTTGCTTTGTAGTGTCAGAGTTTATCTTCTCTTTGTCCTTGTACAGGACATTTTCATCAAAGGTTACATCGCAGTATCTTAGGATTTTCTTATTCTTGTCATCCCAAAACCTGTACCCGAACATGTTAGAGTCATAGCCTATGAAGTAGCATTTCACGGCCTTAGCATCAAACTTATCTCTCTTCTCTGGATCAACATGAACATACGAAGTACAGCCAAAAGTTCTCAAGTGAGAGTACTTGAGTTCCTTCCCTGTCCATACTTCTTCGGACAATTTGAACTTCAAGGGTACTGACGGCCCTCTATTAACCAAATATGCTGCTGTGTTCACAGCATCAGCCCAGAATGTCTTTGGTAGTCCAAAATGAATCCTCATGCTTCTTGCTCGCTCATTCAATGTTCTGTTCATCCTTTCTACAATACCATTTTGTCTTGCCTTATCGGGAATTGTTCTTATTAATCTAATTCCCTCAGCTGCACAAAATGTTTTAAAGTTGATTTGTTGTACTCTCCCCCATTGTCAGACCTCAGACATTTGATCTTCAAGCCAGTCTGATTTTTAACTTCAGCTTTCTACTGCTTGAAGATGGCAAACACATCTGACTTGTGTTTCAGAAAGTAAACCCATACCTTCCTGCTGAAGTCATCGATGAAGGTGACGTAGTGCCTTGATCCACCAAGTGATGAAACTGGAGATGGTCCCTAGGCTGTATAGACCATTTCCAACTGCACTTTCTTCGGTTCTCTGGCAGTCTTTGTGAAACTAACTCGTTTTTGTTTGCCCATAACACAGCTCTCACAAATACTCATATCAACAGATTTTAAGCCTTCTAAAGCTCCTTTCGCAATCAGCATCTTTATTTCTTTGATACTCATATGTCCAAGTCTATTGTGCCATAGACTTGAATTTGAAGCACTCTCAGCAGCAGCAGTCATGTTTATACACTCTGCAGTAGTGTATAAGGTTCCGGATTTTGTGCCACGTGCAACAACCATGGCACCCTTTACAATCTTCCACGAACTCTTTCCAAACTCTACTGCATAGCCTGTGCTATCCAACTGACCAATAGAGACCAAGTTCTTCTTGAGACTAGGAATGTATCTGACATCTTGTAATGTCCACTGATTTTCTGCTAGAGTTTGTATGGAGACATCTCCCTTCCCTTCAATCTCCAAAGTTTTGTTGTCAGCAAGATACACCTTCTCGAAATTTCATGATTTGAAATTTTGAAACAATTCCTTACTTGGAGACGAATGGAACAATGCACCTGAATCCAAAATCCAAGATTCAGCTGGGTTGTCACACTAAGGATTAAAACGTCCTCAGTATCTTCTGTTGTATATATAGAATCATCGTCATCTTCAGATTTATGATTCTGCTTTTTCTTCATTTTTGT